GTAAAACTCTGGTCATTGTGGCCCCCACCCTACCCACCGTAAATTTGAACAAATTTGAATCTACATTACCTGTGGATACTCCTATAATATTATGACTAATCATGGCTTTGCTTTTCTTGAGCGTCAGATTTTTTCAAGATGTATTCGTATGTAAAACTTTGACCCTCTGTTGTGCCCCAACTCCTGGGGGGGGGGGGGGGGGAGGGGAGGGGGTCATGTCGATTTGAACAAACTTGATTCTACAATACCTAAGGTTGCTTCTATATATATATGACTAATAATGGTTTAGTTGTTCTTGAGAAGAAGATTTCAAAGATATTTCCTATGTAAAGTGTATGATCAGGTTCTTACAAGGGATATATAGGTTTTCCTTCTACTCTGTCTGAGTTAATGATTGGACAGTTATGTCTGAGGGTATATGACATAGTATTTAAATTTTTGTTAAACTTTTCATTTTTTTAAATATATTAAGATGGTAATTAAAGAAAAAAATTGTCAAAAAATTATACAAGAACTGATCCTTAACATGTTTTGCACTTATATAAACGGAGACTATGACGTAGTTAAGTAGAGTCATGTGACCATGTGTCCTTCATCCCCTTAAGGTATGTCACTCGTGAAATTAGTTATATCAAGGATTTTTTGAGAAGTATATTTTAAATAAGTACTCATATAGCATGACTCAAATTCGCAAAGAAAATGGGGGGTCAGTATGCATCCTACCGAGCTAGGTACAATTAAGTTGACCTTTTTGCACTTAAATTGTAACTCTTTGGTCAATCACTTTAATCTTTATCGTAATTTATCAGATGTAATTTTGGCAATAAATATAATGTTATTTTACGTAAAATAGTTTGAATGATATTTATCATTGAACAAATCATGCAAATTAATGCGCATAAAATTTATTGTGTGACCTTTTTGCACTAAAAATGTATTATATTTGGGGTATAAAATATCTAAATGGGCAATGAAATATTTTCTTGTATCAAACTTTTTATGACTTAAGTGCTGATCGGTTGGAAGTATCGTGTTGTTAAATATTATGAAAGAAGAAAATTTGCAATTTTCAGGCAAAAAACGGTTTAAATTTTATCTTGACTTCTTTAATATATCTTTATTTCTTGGCAAAGTCTGTTGAATGAATGTGTAAAATTTATTCTAAAAATATAAATTGAGACCTATATTTAATATTCCTAGAATATCATAACGGAAAATTTTCTCTAAGTAAAAATATTTGTTGCTATAGTTCCAAAATATTAAATTTAACAAATGTGGAGATTTGAAGAATCTATATACCTTAATTTCGATGTCAGTTTCTTATGTTTGTGACGTAATAACTATGAAAATGACGTCACAATCTCGAATATTTAGCATACTGAGAAGTCGTGTTTCTGTCCACATGATAAGATCGGAAAAGTGCTGTCAAATGCTTCTTTGAAAAGATATTTCAAAGAAAATTTGTATGGAGGTAGAGTAAGACTAAAAGAATGGTACTGTTTATCAGCAATTCCATATAATTTCATTTTACGGTTGGCTTATAAGCACTGTTTATGTCCGGTTATGCTGTCATAGGCATTCATTTAAGATTTTAATTTTAATAATACAGCTGGTCTTTCGGTCTATCATGTAGCTCTCCATTGTATTAAACAAAATATGTTCTGTATAAAACTGAAGTGTATCAATGCAGTGTTCCCCAAATTTATGTATCATGGGTAACAGGACTCTTACCGTTTAGGAATAAAACGTACAAAAGTCTTCCCACGGACTTGTTTCTCTGTGTATTTTTGTCATATTATTTCAACTTTGGCTCTCCAAAACTCACTATTGCTTTTGACTTTCGGCTAACAAAAATGAATCTGAGTTACATTGCCATGTACAATCTTATTTATTTTCCATGACTTAAATTTTCGAATATATTGAGTTACGGTGGGTTTACAACTACGCCGGTGCCATTTTGGTTTTTACGAGAAAATATGGGGTACTGTGATGGTACATATTGTCGTTTTGTACATATTGTCGTCGGCGACAATATGTACCTACCCTCACTGCACATATTGTCGTCCATCTGTACATATTGACGCCGGCTGAAAAGTTACACATGTACATATTATCGCTGGCGACATTTTGTGCCTCCCTTACTGTACATATTGTCGCCCCACAGATATTGTTGCTTAAAGATTTCTTTTGTTGTTTTTGATAGTTTTGTGAATGCAATTTGTGTATGAATCACACTGACGTGTCTCTCATGCTATTTCATGCAGCGTGATTGTGATGGTACATTTTGTCGTCCTGTTCATATTGTCGCCGGCGACAATGTGTACCTACCCTAACTGCGCATATTGTCGTCCATCAGAGCATGTCGCATGACAATGCATGGCAATGCTCCACATACATGTAAATATGGCCAGAGAAACCAAAAACTTCAAAAATGGTCATATACACTTAATTTAATCGCCGAAATATGGCTGAAATATTGCCGACTCGGCGTTAAACAATAATAATCAATTAATCCATATTAATATGACTAATCATTGCTTTGTTGTTTTTGAGAAGATACCTTTTAAAAGTATTTTCCCATATATTCCTAAGTAAAACTTTGATCGCCCATTGTGGCCCCACCTTAGGCCCGGTTTGATTTGAAGATACTTGAATCTGCTCTACCTGAGGATGCTTCCATATAAATATCACTAATCATGGGTCTACTGCTGTTCTCATTGATGGATCCAGAAATTTCAGAACGGGGGGGGGGGGGGCGGTTCAGAATTTTTTTTTGACAAGCAAAAAATTTTAAAAAGTAATTTGTATGTTAAGGTGTGTACTGTATATGTTAAGTAAATTATCTAATTACGAAATTTTACCTGTGGACTAAATTGAGAGTATAAACACGTTAAAAAAACATAATTTGCCAAAGCAGAAAAAATATCAAACCACCGGAAAGGGGGGGGGGGGCGGGAGGTGTGCACCGGTGCTACATCTGTCTGGTTTTTGAGAAGATTTTTAAAGGTTTTCTGTATATATTTCTAAGTAAATCTTTGATCACCCATTGTGGCCCCACCCTACTCCTGGGGTCATGATTTGAACAAAATTGATTTTGTTTGTTGTTTTAATGTCCATCTCGAGAATTTTTTCATTCGTAAGTAGACGTATACTTTAGACCTATACTTGGCACACAGGGTCATTGAGCTTTGAGGGGTCTTTTTCGAACCAGCACCTCAAAATTGAACTAACGCTATGTAACGAAGCTTTCACATAAGTATCATCTCTTCTGACCCAGTAGTTCTTGAAAAAAAATTGAAAGATTTTTTTCCCTAAATATTCTAAGAAAAACTTTTGCAGCCACACCCCTTTCCCCCGAGGAACATGATCTGAATGAAACTGAATCTACACTTCATGATGAAGCTTTCATATAAGTTTCAACTTTTCTGACACAGTGGTTCTTGAGAAGATTTTTAAAAGATGTCACTAAATTTTCACTAATTCTTAACCACTATTCTACTACTGTATGACCCTTCATTTAAACAAACTTGAATTCCCTTTATCTATCCACCGATGCTTTTGTGACAAGTCTGCTGGAAATTGACCCAGTAGTTCTTGAGAAGAAGCTGAAATTGTGAAAAGTTTACAGACAGAGGAACGGTCAGACAATATGAGAAAAGCTCACTTGAACTTCCAGTTCAGGTGGTCTAAAAATGTCAAACCTACACCAATTATATAGGCACATGATTGTATATAAGAATAACACGAAAAATAATTTTTAATTAATCATTACTAATGAACAAAAAAAATAATACATATATTCAATCTTCAAGTATATATTACAAGAAAAAGGAAAAGGCCGATTTATCAGTTCTCTTAAGAATCACAGTATCTTGACATATCATAGTGATGTACATCAATCCTGGACACAATTTTCTGACCAATTTTCTCCCTACAGTATTGTGAGAAATGCTGTCTGTCTCCCTTTGTGCTTGTGTTTGTGTTTGTCAATCTCTCTTTCTTTATACAAGTAAATATTCGTCAAAACAATATATCGACGACAAAATGTGCCGACCTTGACTGTACATATTGTCACCGACGACAATATGTGCTGGTGTTTGACTGTACGTTCTGTCGTCCATTATGCAGTAGAAAAATACTTGGCTCGTTTCGGTACATATTGTCGCCGGCGACAATATGTACAGATGGTCGACAATATTTTTTTTTCTTTCAACTATATTTTAGGCCTTTCTCTTGTAAGTTTGTTCTCTTTATGCTCATTTGGGCACTGGATTAGTAATAAAACATATCTTATCTATGTACAGTGAGGGTAGGTACATATTGTTGCCAACGACAATATGTACAAAACGACAATATGTACCGTCACAGGTACCCTTAACTTAACTTATCTTGAGCTTTAATCGTTCCCACAATATTGGTTAAACCACCTGACGAATTAATGTCTACAAGACTTTGTAACACGGTCCACTATTCTCCTTTGATTTTCAACTTTGTCATTTTCTCACAGCTACAGTAGGTCCTTTTTACGCAATATTTTGAGCGAGATTCAATAATAACATGCTATGTTTAACACACGCTTATACCCCCTCAGAACTACAGGATCTCCTAAATAAAATACCACTGTAGTCTACGTAAACATTCTCCCAACTGGCATTTGTGTCCGTTAGCGTGCATCCGAGTAATGAGCAAAAGTTGACTTTAAAATTTTAATTCACAGAAAGTTTGTCTTTTGTTACGTCATTTTCGTGGTCAGTATGCTAAACACCCGGGTTTCTGGCGTCATTTTCGGAGTTATTACGTCATAAATATTACAAAGTGACGTCACAATAGGTGTGTATTTTTCTGACCTTTCAAACGCAAGTGAGTTAAGGCTAGGTATTCACGCTTCCACGTCGTCACGGGTGACGTAGTTGCCATCTCCGCACAGCCAATCAGAATCGCGGAAACATCATCCGCCATTACCTCCGACAAAACACACATGTCGGAGGAGTTAGATGACATCGTTTAATGCAACATATCCGCTGTGCAGCGAAAAATTGTGAGGTCCTATGCATGGGATAGATGTAATAATGATACGAGGTACCCGGAAAGAATACACAAGGTGAGATTTATTCATTTTCTAAATCCAAAACACGGAAAAGCAAGTGTTTACGTTGCATAAACACTAAAACAGCTGATATAAAGGCATGTCATGTGGAAGACCGAAACACAACTGTCTGTTAAAAAATAAGTTATTCGGGTATATTAATGTCAAAGTTAGTGATAATATAATTGGCAATTAAAGAGAGCAATGTTTAGATTGTGTTATACCACGTACAATAGTGATTTACGAACTTTGCACTTTATGTGCTCGGACCATGACTCGACCGTTTAAAGCTAATCTCGGTGAACTGAATATAATTCTCGATATTAAATGAGAATGCTGCAAAAAATGTTTTGTGAGTAATTTTACAATGCTTTAACTTTGAAACATTTTGTGATTGTGTATAGCTTCATGAATCTAAATTAATTGTAGCATTTATGGGTCATGAAATACTGACTGTAAACAGCAAAATCCAGTTCCCTCAGATGGGTCACAGTCATCAACAAAGCTTCTTTGGATTTATCGAGACAAGTTGTAAGCTTACTGATATTATGTTAAGAAAAGTATCCGTTATGAAGAAACTTAGTTACAAACCTAGTATGTTTATGCAAGTGAAGATATCATTATACCATGAAAACTTGACATAATAAAATCATAGATGAATAGTCATTTCTGTACTATACCTTATCGATAAATATTTAGTCTTGGTGAAAACGCTGAGAATAGTTAACTGCAAATTTGTTTATGAGATCAAGATTTTAAAAGCATTTAAAAAATTCAAGTCAAATGCATTATTTATATTTTAATAAAATATTGCATGCATTCAGGATCAACGATGGAGCACGCAAGGAAACAGAAAAGAACCTTCACCCATGTGTCATAACAGAATGTCCAAATGAATTGTTAACAGGCTACATGTATGTATATACAAAAGGAACATCACCACACCCTAGTTTTCCTATTAGTTATGTAATTTACAAATGATTATGGAGAAAGGGAACTGCAAAAGAAAAGTATCAGTAACTGTTTCCATATTGCATCAAAATCTCTGAAGCCACTTATTCTTGACATCATTGTTTTTATGCAGTTAAATACCAAGTAAATCAGTACTTGAAGTAATATGTGAAGTAAATCAATACTTCTAAAATCTCTTTCTAATTTAATCAGAAAGCACATTTTAGATATTGGTACTTTATTTGTGTTATACTCATAGATCTTTAGAATTTATTTTTCATTTTAAGAAATCTTTGGATTAATTTTACCATGTTGGAGAACTACAACAAAAACAGAGAGAACCTACAGAACAGAATAAGTAATCGTCTACAACTCCACATAGCAGCAAGAGAAAAACAAGGCCCACTTGCCATGAAGAAAACAGTAAAAAAAAATACATGTCAGTGATGTGTGTATTATTTATACCAACATGAAATATTATTGAAAATTTATTAGATTTTTTGACATCAAAACAATTCCACTGTATGTAGAAAAGAAGGGGCAATACAAATGACAAAAGGATTGTCTCAGTGACTATTGGTATTTTTTGTGCAAATACTCCATAATTGTATATCAACACTGATGTGGCTATGGCACAATTTTGGATTAAAGGGTGTAGCATCAATGTTTGGTGTGTCAGTGATTGACTATGTGCATGTGTTGACCTTATGCATGTTATGCTAGGTTTAAAGATGAGTGATTGACTTTCAGTGACTTCACTAATTTCAGGAGAAGCAGGCTTTTCACTTATCTAATGAACTCCATTAGCATAATACATGTTTGTTTATGTAATCTTATGGTATCCACAATGTGCTGAATAGCATAAACAAGTGTATAGTTCACAAAGGTGATGAATAACACGAATAACAATATGAAATGTGTAGCACTGTCATAGATGAAATTCCCAAAAATATACGTCATACTGATGTAAGTAAATGATTTATACAGTGATGTGATCATACAATGAGAAACAACTGATACAAATTAAATATTCAAACACCTAACCCTATAAATGTATATCACTGCCTAAGGAAATTTGATAGAAGAAAAATAATAATTTTTAATTTTGACATAAACAATTTTATTATTACTTTTATATGAAATGTACAATATCATTAAACTTTTCTGTATACCCTTACCTTGTCTTTATTTCATTGAACATCTTGTATCCTTTTATTGGTATCTTTGGATTAACATCTATGATATCAATACAGAATTGATTTTTAATTCCTCTTGGAAAATGCTATGCTGAGGAAGACTTATGTTTGTTCTTCAAACCTAGCAAACTGAACTGTTGAATGCAATTCATTTGTACAACAGTATGTGAACATTTTCCTTAACCCCTCAAGTTTATGTGTCACTAGTGAAGTACACTGACTGTTTTTGATCATTAAACAGTCTTTTACAATGTAATTTCTACTTATGATACCCTAGAACCATTAAGGATATCTGAAATATGTATCAAAGTCCATGCCTAGAACAGACTGGGGCATGCATTGGATTTGGAATGATTATATTTATTTTAAACATGCATGACTAAAATCTTGAAAGTTTATTTTGTACTATGGTACAAACACAGGAAGATTTATTTCCTTCAAATTTATGTGAAAAAATATCTGAATTTTTCACTCAAGTGTGTACCCCATTTATAGTTTTAAGGACCCTTTATACACTTAAGCAGGATATTTTTAGACATTGAGAAAATTAAATTGTATGAAGGTGTAAATTTTGAGCATACCCAATGAATTTTCAACAAGGGTACCTTGCATTTACCCCCCAGGAAAAATGGATTCCGATAATAAAAGATACATGTAATACTGATGAACAAAAATATGCACTTTATAACATTTGAGAGAAATACATCCAGTTGAAGAATCATAAAGTATTCAATTCATTTATCTTGGTCTATTAAAATATTAAGAAATTTATTATAAATTGTAGTTTTCAAATTCTTTAATTTTTAGATCTAGGGACAGAATGTTCTAATTGCATAAAAATACCACAGAATCAGAACTCGATCTTAAGTGTGCTGTGTGGAGAGGACAATAAAAAATGAAAGAAAGAAATGAAAATATAATAATAAACTATAATCAGTTTGTCCAAATCAAAACGATTGTGGGAGAGGGGTGGTGATGAATGAGTTCTTTCAGAATTCTTTGACAAAAAATAATATCCAAACACAGGGATGTGGGCCAAATAGTGCATTTTTAGGTTGTTATATATATGACAGTTCTGAACATTTCAAGGGATAGGAGAGTCCTGACTCCCTTCCGGATCATAAGCAACCTTTCAAAATAGATAAACACAAATACATTGCATATCATTTTCTTGATTAGATCTAGTCAATATCGATGAATACATGGAATATTGGGGGGAAAATCTCTCGGCAGTTGAGGTTTTAATGCTAACTAAACAACAAACAAAAATTGTCAATTTTATTTTAAACATTAAAAATTAATAACGTTCCGTGATCTACTCTGCAGTACGTATCAGAAAAGTAAATTTCGGAGACAGTTGAACTGACCTTCAAGTCGGATGCTTGCAGTACCAATATAGATCGGTAAAGGTTAAAATTATTCTTCTACTTACTAAAATTTTGTGTTTGAAATATCTCTGAAACATATCTGACATTTTGACAAACGTTTCTGTAAAAATTCGTGAGCAAACAAGCCGACTGAAAAGTTTTTCCGTGCGATTTCTGTAACTCGCATCCATGTTGTTTACGTTAGTTTGTCGGAGTCTGCAACCACGTGACTTTCGTTGCCATCGGTGGGCGGAGCGTGGATGCGTGATTATTTCACGCTTCCACGTCGTCACGGGTGACGTAGTTGCCATCTCCGCACAGCCAATCAGAATCGCGGAAACTTTGTCCGCCATTACCTCCGACAACACACAGATGTCGGAGGTGTGAGATGACATCGTTTAATGCAACATATCAGCTGTGCAACGAAAAATTGTGAGGTCCTATGCATGGGATAGATGTAATAATGATACGAGGTACCCGGAAAGAATACACAAGGTGAGATTTATTCATTTTCTAAGTCCAAAACACGGAAAAGCAAGTGTTTACGTTGCATAAACAGCTGATATAAAGGCATGTCATGTGGAAGACCGAAACACAACTGTCTGTTAAAAAATAAGATATTCGGGTATATAAATGTCAAAGTTAGTGATAATATAATTGGCAATTTAAGAGAGCAATGTTTAGAATATGTTATATGACGTACAATAGTGATTTACAAACATGCTCAGACGATGACTCAACCGTTCAAAGCTATAAATCTCGGTGAACTGAATATAATTCTCGATATTAAATGAGAATGCTGCAAACATTTTTGTGGGTAATTTTACAATGCTTTATCTTTGAAACATTTTGTGATTATATATAGCTTTAGGAATCTAAATTAATTGTAGCATTTATGGGCCATGAAATACTGACTGTATACAGCAAGGCCCAGTTCCCCCAAATGGGTCACAGTCATCAAGAAAGGCTTCTTTGGAATTATCGAGAAGAGTGGTAAGTTTACTGATATTATGTTGAGAAAAGTATCTGTTATAAAGAAACTTAGTTACAAAGCCAGTATGTTTTTATTCAAGTGAAGATATCATACCATGAAAACTCGACATAGTAAAATCACAGATGAATAGTCATTTCTGTACTATACCTTATCGATTGATATTTAGTCTTTGTGAAATTGCCGAGGATAGTTAACAACAAATTTGTTTATGAGATCAAAATTTTAAAAGCATTTAAAAAATTCCAAGTCAAATGCATTATTTATAATAAAATATTGCATGTTCAGGATCAATGATGGAGCACACAAGGAAACAGAAAAGAATCTTCACCCGTGTGTCATAACAGACTGTCCAAATGAATTGTCAACAGGCTACATGTATGTATATTAGTGTTAAATCCAAAGCAAACTAGCATGGCGCGGCGCCATGCCCTTTTCTCTCGACGCCATGCCCTTTTTCCAGCGCCATGCCCTTTTTTCCTTGCAAAAATAAATAAATATGCCCAGCAGAGGCAAGATGGACTAGCGGCTTTGTTTATTCAGTGCATGCTGATTAGCCCCTTTGTTTATTTAATGCACGCAAAGGTGTGAATTCAGGACAGGAAATCATTTCTCGCTTGAACGCACACAGCCACCTGGGCAGGTAACATGCCTCAGGCTGTCAGGGTGTAAGAGATAACATGAGAAAATATTTAATTGCATTGATTATGCAAGAATGAGCCCAATGTCAAAGATAGATTAATTTGTAAATTAAAATGTTACACATTTTAAATCAGGATCTTTTTTTTTTAACTTGAAAGTAGAAAAAACAGAGTAGATGAAGAAATGTGAAAAATAAAACTGCTGATGAATCAAGTCAACTTACAATATACAGTACCAAAAAAAAATAACTGAATATTATGTGTGAAATGGGCTAGGAAACAACAAAGTATGAAGTTAGTTTCTTTCATGTTCAATGATTCTGTGTTCTAACTTTTTGAATTGACACCCAGAGGCTTAATGTTTCTAAGCCAGAAAAAAAGTTTTAACCAATTTACATATTATTTCAAGTTTAATTTTTTGGTATGATCAGTGTTCACTGATTTTGTTGGTAGACTATTTTCAAAATAAAGAGAATACCCTCTACATTTATTATTCAAGTAGCCCCCCCCCCCTTGCAATTTTGTTCTGTTATTTACCTCATACACAAATAACAATATTAAAGCAAGGGAAAAAAATTCATACTCCAAACTAAAATAATTCTTGAGCAAGTGACAAAAAGATTCACACCTACTACTGTTTAAGCATAACCTTGATAACCATACTAATTTCTTGATTAAAAAATTTGAATTTAAATTTTGGCAATAATTGCCCTCTCAGTGTGTATTAAATTAATTAAGCTGACAGGTTTATACATTTTTCTTTTAGATACTTGTATAACAAAAGATTTCAGTATTAAATATTAATTTAAGTACATAAACATGATAAAGAAAATATTTGTAACTTCAAAGATGTTAAAAAGTGCCCTCATGAAAACTTGTCGCGGCATAAAGTGCCCTTTTGATCATTGGATTACCATGCCCTTTTTAGGGTCTGGATTTAACACTATATATACAAAAGGAACATCACCACACCCTAGTTTTCCAGTTAGTTATGTAATGTACAAATGATCATGGAGAAAAGGACTTGCAAAAGAAAAGTAACTGTTTCCACAATGCGTCAAAATCTCTTAAGCCACTTATTCTTGACATCAATGTTTTTTATGCAGTTAAATACCAAGTAAATCAATACTTGAAGTAATATTTGAAGTATATCAATACTTCTAAAATCTCTTTCTAATTTAATCAGAAAGCACATTTTTAATGTTATATTTTACTTTAATTTATTTGTGTTATATGCATAGATCTTAAGAATTTTATTTTTCATTTTAAGGAATCTTTAGATTAATTTTACCATGTTTTAGAACTACAACAAAAACAGAGAGAACCTACAGAACAGACTAAGTAATCGTCTACAACTCAACATAGCAGCAGGAGAAAAACAAGGCCCACTTGCCATGAAGAAAACAGTAAAAAAAAATGTATATGTCAGTGATGTGTGTATTATTTATACCAACATGAAACATTATTGAAAATTTATTAGATTTTTTGACATCAAAACAATGCAACTGTATGTAGAAAAAAGGGGCAATACAAATGACAAAAGAATTGTCTCGGTCACTTTAGGTATTTTTGTGTAAATAGTCCATAATTGTATATCAACACTGGTTAGACTAAGGCACAATTTGGGAATAAAGGTGTAGCATCAATGTTTGGTGTGTCAGTGATTGACTATGTGCATGTGTTGACCTTATGCATGTTACACATATGTTAAGGTTTAAAGATGAGTGATTGACTTTCAGTGACTTCACTAATTTCAGGAGAAGCAGACTTTTCACTTATCTAATGAACTCCATTAGCATAATACATGTTTGTTATGAAATCTTATGGTATCCACAATGTGCTGAATAGCATAAGCAAGTGTATAGTTCATAAAGGTGATGAATAACATGAAATGTGTAGCACTGTCATACATGTAGATGAAATTCCCAAAAATATATGTCATACTGATATAAGTAAATGATTTATACAGTGATGTGATCATACAACGAGAAACAACTGATAAAAATTAAATACTCAAACATCTGACCCTATAAATGTATATCACTGCCTAGGGAAATTTAATAGAAGAAAAATAATACTTTTTTTTTTGAATTTGACATAAACGATTTTATTATTACTTATATATGAAATGTACAATATCATTAAACTTTCTGTATACCTGAACCTTGTCTTTATTTTTTGAACATCTTGTATCTTTTCATGGGTATCTTTGGATTGAAATCTACGATATCAATACAGAATTGATTTCTGATTCCTCTTGGAATATGCAATGCTGAGGAAGACTTATGTTTGTTCTTCAAACCTAGCAATCTGAAATGTTGAATGCAATTTATTTGTACAACAATATGTGAACATTTTCCTTAACCCCTTAAGTTTGTGTGTACTAGTGAAGTACACTGATTGTTTTGATCATTAAACAGTCTTTTACATTGTAATTTCTACTTATGATACCCTAGAACTTTTAAGGATTTCTGAAATATATATCAAAGTCCATGCCTAGAACCATAAACTGAGAACAGACCGGGGCCTGCATTGGATTTAGAATGAATATCTTTGTTTATTTTAAACATGACTAAAATCTTGAAAATTTATTTTGTACTAATGTACAAACACAGGAAGATTTTTTCCCTTCAAATTTATGTGAAATAATATCTGAATTTTTAACTCAAGTTTGTATCCCATTTATAGTTTTAAGGACCCTTTATAAACTTAAGCAGGTTATTTTTTAATCTCGGTGGAGATTCGGCTGGGCTAGATATTTGGTCTGACGCCCACCGAATCTCGGACAATCCTTCATAATTCATGTCTGGAAATTCAGCCCCAACTTCGGCTGGCTATATCAAGAATTAATCACCTAGGCGACACTGTCGTTCGCTTCAATTAAGTCATTTAGTTGTTTAATTAACTCTCTGTCAATATTATTTTCACATTGCTTACCGTTTAGGCATGTAAATCCCACCATAAAGACATTCACTAAAATCTCCTTTCAAAATATGGCTCCCCTGATGTAATTGTTTATCTCCTCACACTAAAGAGTTCCTATATGGTCTGTTTTCATTTCTATGAAAAATACTTAAAAGCTACAGTAGAGGTTCAGCATCACATAAAAGAAAACAGACTGTAGGAACTCTTTAGTGCAAGGAGATAAACAATTACGCCAGGGGAGCCATATTTTGAACGGAGATTTTAGTGAATGTTTTTATGGTGGGATTTACATGCCTAAACGGTAAGCAATGTGAAAATAATAGTGACAGAGAGTTAATTAAACAACTAAATGACTTAATTGAAGCGAACGACAGTGTCGCCTAGGTGATTAATTCTTGATATAGCCGGCCGAAGTTGGGGCTAAATTTCCAGACATGAATTATGAAGGACTGTCCCGAGATTCGGTGGGCGTCAGACGAAATATCTAGCCCAGCCGAATCTCCACAGAGATTAGTTATTTTTTAGACATTAAGAAAAATTTTATGAAGGTGTAAATTTTGAGCATGCCCAATGCATTTTCAACAAGGGTACCTTGCATTTACCCCCAGGAAAAATGGTTAATAAAAGATAATATTGACAAAAATTTCTATTGTTCACTTCATAACATTTGAGAAAAATACATCCAGTTGAAGAATCATAAAGTATTCAATTAATTTATCTTGGCCTATTAAAATATTAAGAAATTTATTACAAATTGTAGTATTCAAATTCTTTTATTTATAGATCTAGGGACAGAATGTTCTAATTTCATAAAAATACCACAGAATCAGAACTCTTAAGTGTGCTGTGCAGAGAGGACAAAAAAATGAAAGAAATAAAAATATAATGATAAGCTATAATCAGTTTGTCCAATTCAAAACGATTGAGGGATCTGGGAGAGAGGGGTGGTGATGAATGAGTTGCTACATATTTCAGAATTCTTAGACAAAAAATTATATCCAAACAGGGGGATGTGGTCCAAATATATGACAGTTCTGAAAATATCAAGGGGTCCCTTCCGGATCAGCGCTAGCAAAAGCAACCTTTCAAAATCGAGGAACACATATACACTGCATATCACTTTCTTGATTAGATCTAGTCAGTAACGATAAAGATGTATACACGGAATATATTGGGGGAGGGGGGGGGGGGTCTCTCGGCGGTTGAGGTTTTAATGCTAAATAAAAAAACAAACAAATGTTGTCAATTTTATTGTAAACATTGAAAATTAATAACGTTCCCTGATCTACTATCCAATACGTATCAGAACAGTAAATAGGCCTATTTCGGAGACAGCTGAACTGACCTTCAAGTCGGATGCAGTACCGATCTAGATCGGTAAAGGTTAAAATTATACTTCTACTTACTAAAATTTTGTGATTGAAATCTCTCTGAAACATATTTTACATTTTGACAAACGTTTCTGTATAAATTCGTGAGCAAACAGGCCGATTGAAAAGTTTTTCCGTGCGATTTCTGTAACTCGCATCCATGTTGTTTACGTTAGTTTGTCGGAGTCTGCAACCACGTGACTTTCGTTGCCATCGGTGGGCGGAGCGTGGATGCGTGAATAGGCGTTTCTATGCAAATGAGCTAATAAAAATGCAAAAGAGGTATACTTATTATACAGAGAAAGCTTAAATTCATTTTCTTATACATACTTAGTTCCCAAGGCATGTTATAGCTAGTGCACATTATGACGTCATATTATGACATCATTGGTCGCTAGTACTCAAAGTAATAAAACACATCAACAAACAGCTATGG